CTGAGGACACATTTCAGCATTAGCACCTAAGCAGCGAACGTCAAAGGATAAACTTATCATCAATTCCTTTACAAGCCCATAAACACACGACAGAACTAAGTGTAGGCTACAGCAATGCCTTTTGTAGAGGTATACATTCATGATTCACTGCATGGTCTAAAGAAAAGATGAAAGTTTAAAAAATAAAATAAAATAAATTATAATACTACTAATAATCATTTTCTGTACAGCTTTGCAAAAGTAAATATGAGAGGGACAAAAATACGTACTTTAAATTAATGTGCTATACAAATTCCTCCAGAAGTCTAAACTGAGCTTAAAAAGACCAGGAAGAAAAGTTTTGCATATTGGAACATGCAACCAAACAACACCCCCACAGGAAAGATGAGAGAAGAGAGTAGCTGGTACAAGCTGGGCTATCATGCTGGACCAAAAAGAGTAATGGCTGCCCTCTTGCCATGTTCTACTTCCCTGTCAGTCAGCAGACCATAAGGCACCACACTAGCCTAAACCAGATCTATCTGGAGGAACTCTTAATGTGACATTTACTGAGATATATTTATTCCCACTGAGACTACCCAGCTCCCTCAACTTCGCTTGCCAACATAAACAATCCACCACTGAAAGATGAAGTACCACTTACAGTTGGCAGAAGGGATGGGCGATATGGCAAAAATAAAACATCACAATACTTACAAGATATTTTTACAATACATTATATGCATCACAATATTCCATTTTTCCCAGGTTTGATAAGTTGGAACCGACACATTGCACCAGTAGTGCCACACAACTATCGATACTAACAAAAACAATGATATGTTAATGTTCTTAAAGTACTGATATCCACAAAATGCTTAAAAGCATTTCTGATGCAATTTATCACAATAACAATGATATATCATCATCATATTGCAGACCCCTAGTTGGCAGTATGATAAGGTTCGCTCACCTCAGCTGAAAGTACATCAACTGATTATAGTGCAAGGAGCAACTGAGCAGTCGGCCATCAGCAGCATCCATTTTCTTTGATAGGAAAGTGAATGACCCAATAAGGAACCTAATTCCAGTGTGTCTACTGACTACAATATCAAAGTGAAAGAAGGGGAAATGAAATGTCACAATATACAGGGCATTTACAACTAGATAGATGCGGGTTTCATGGGGAAAATCCAAATCACAACAATCAAAGTTAAACTGAGATCTCCTTCCAAATGAAAGATGTGACTGTTTAACATGTCCAGTGTGAGTTGAGTTAGTGGGAAAAGGTTCTTATACACTCTAGTTGAGTGACTAAAACACAGGACTTCATGCTACTGATCAGAGATCTGTCCGGCAGCAACAAATACACTATATGTTCAAAGGTTTGTAGACACCTGCTTATCTAATATTTCTTCTGAAATCAAAGCTATCAACAGGGAGTTTGTCCTTCTTTGCTACAGTAACAGTCTTTCTGGGAAGACTTTACACTAGATGTTGGAACATTGCTGTGAGGGTCTGACTGCGTTCAGCCACAGGAGCATTAGTGAGTTCAGGTAATGATGTTGGGTGACTAGTTCAGGATCACAAACGCCACTCCAGCTCATCCCACAGGTATATGATGGAACTACAGAGAATGCTGTTCCACTGCTCCATAGCCATGAGCTTTCTACTTATGTGGCTGCAACATAGCAACCCTTTCTATCACCAGTGCTTTTCTATGGAGAATAATTATACAAGTAGTGTGAATGCCTGTGTCAGCAATGGGTGCACCTTAAAGTAGGTGAATTCCAAATTAAAAGGAGTGTCTGGATACGTTTACGTTTAAGATTACAATATAAGATTACTTCATTGCATTTCTGGAAACCTAATCAACACAGACCAGTCAGAATAGGACAGATGGAAATCCCAACCAACAAATTTTTCCACCGTCTCACAGTGAGTTATCAACTGATCATTAAAAAGTTGCTAAACCTATTAGGCTACATTGGAAGGCAAGCGTCAACAGTTGTGCTTGTTTTCAGAATAAACCCACACTCCTACTAAAAGGCCACCTAAAAGGTAAACAAAGACAGGCCACACTAAACTAATAAGCCATTGCTGGCATGAGGTGTGAAAAGGTGAAAAGTTACTGCTGTGAGTGACCAATGAAGCACGCTTTAATTTAATAATAATAATAATAATAATAATAAGAAGAAGAAGAAGAAGAAGAAGAAGAAGAAGAAGAAAAAGAAGAAATAGAAAAATATATTTTTTTAGATCAGAGATACAGCAAAAACATGTGGTGCACAACAAAACTATGAAGTTATTTTTGTCATTGTAAGTAACAGGTATAAATCACGAAAAAAAAGCATTTTTTTAAGAACCTCCCAATATCAATTTTCTACCCTACTGACTACAGATACACCAATATCTTTCATGAACTTACACTATATGAACAAAAATATCGGGACACCTACACATTACACCTACAGGAGCTTTTATGACATCCCATTTTAAATCCATAGGCATTAATAAAGAGTTGGTCCCGCCTTTGCAGCTATAACAGCTTCCACTCTTCTGGGATGCTTTCTAAATGATTTTGGAGTGTGTCTGTGGGAATTTTTGCCCATGTATCAAGAAGAGCATTTGTGAGGTCAGACACTGATGTTGGACGAGAGGGCCTGGCTCGAAATCTCTGTTCTAGTTCATCCCAAAGGTGTTTGATGGGGTTGAGGTCAGGGCTCTGTGTGGTCCAGTCAAGTTCTTCTACAACAAACTCACACAACCACGCCTTTATGGACCCTGATTTGTGCACTGGGCACAGTCATGCTGGAATAGAAAAGGGCCTTCCCCAAACTGGACTGGAAGCATACAGTTGTACAACTGTATGTGTTCGTTAATGGGCTGATCTGCTAAAGGCTAAACCAAGACAAAAGGAGTTCATTACCACAAGAGACAGGCGGTTCCTTCCATATGTCTCCCTCAATAACAACCCAGACTAACATTCGCTCAGATTGTAAGTGACTACACAGTGGGAGGTAAGTGATTACTGAAAAAAACATTTCTCAGCTGTTGAGGTAAGTTGCTAAAATTAACATGTTTGCTGGTGTATTTGTGACAAATCCGTGAAACCAATATCACCCACTACTGCCTTTCCACCAAATACTAGCATTACAGATTTTGCCATGACCATTTTTACCGCTGCTTGTCACCCACATCTACTGGTGCACATGCACACTTAAGAAATTGCTTTCCGGTATCGATCAAAGGTATCTCCATTGTCAATACCAATACTGCATTTAAGTGCCAGTACTGGCGCTGATACTGATATGGTATTGGTGCAACCCTACTCAGAATTATTTCTCAAGAGACATGATCCAATTAATGACTGCCTCTCCCTGAGGCACAGGAATGCTCATTTCTGATATCTCATTTATCACTTTCGGCAGCCCTGTAAAAAGCTCTAGAAGAGAAAATTCATCTGTTTACTGCCACTCCCACTCTAACTGGTGATAAGCAGTCATATGAAATGTGCTACTGCTTGTTATCTGGACAGGGTTTGTGGAAAAAAGGTTAAGTCTACACAAGAACGCGGCCGGTCTATTATCAATCCAGACAGACAGTGTAGCGAGAAAACCGGAGAAAGTGGTCTGTTTACGTTTTCTGCAGCAGAATCCTAGATAAGAAGTGAGATGCCTTCACACAGGTGTCCATGCACATTCAGTGAAAAGTTTACAAGAAATGGTGTCAAAACAGATTTTTGCTAAAGGAGCCATGCGGGCCAACCTGTATGTCTTAACATTTCAAGGTTATGTGGGGTGTGAGGACAAAAGGACAGAGAATGAAACTGCCTGATAGTACCGCAAGAAAGTTACTGTCAGAGAGAAGTTGTAAAAAGACAACTGGTGGGTGGGTGGGGTATCAAGTAATTTCATCAGACAGTTAGTCTCATTACGTCTAATGCTAATCTTGTGCTTCGACGTGGCAAAGTACTCTCTGTGAAGATCAAAAAAGGGCCTATATCCTACATTTTCCCTGTATATTAAGTTTTTTCTCTGAGGTCCACTTGTGATATTTGTGTAGGTATATGTACCAAAAACAGTCAATTCTTTTTTACAAAACTATTTTAAATTTTAGCCCTGGTACAGGTAACTGATCTCTGTTCTGACTGGCAGCAATGCATTATTCAACAACCAGCCTAGGGTGCACACTCCTTATAACTTCAGCGTGAATAGGTGGACATGTAAATGAGTTGGTTTTTGTGACATCACAAAAAAACTAATTCAAACTAATGCAGTTTCACTTCCATATAGTATAAACTGTAGAGATTGGGAAGTGAATGATACATTTTGAATCTGTAACTGTGTTTACACAGCACATTAACCTCGTATTTCAAAAAAGTGAGGAAAAGTCAATTTTCTCACAGTTTGGCCCTTTAAGCCAACCCACTCCAGCCCTCTGAACCATTTTGTAACTGAAACACCGTCCACTTCTTCTCTGCTTCGTTCAACAGACAGGCTCCAGTGACAATTTTATGTGGAATACAGAAGAAAGATAAAACACAGGAAACGAGCTCGCCAGGCTTCAGCTCTCACACTGGATCCGAAAGACAAGCTACACAAACCCAAACCTCCCCAAACTCTATTCCAACAGCCGTCCGCAAACCGGTCACAAATCAGGTCTCTCATGAAGGAGTCGCCCTGTCCAGCGACTCAGTCACGATGGGACATCGTGACAATCATCCCATCAGACTCGGTAAACTCTCTCTCTCAGCCAGCAGCCACATCCCTTCCTCCCTTCTTCTTCTTCTTGTCCAGCAGACTACTGGCGTTCCCAGTTGCAGATAAAGGTGCTACTGCTTCACATCTGACACTATCTTAGTCTTGTGAAATGTAATTTTTGCTGTTTCTCATAGGCAGGAAGACAGACTTCTCACCCGCCCATTAAACCTCCGGATACTTTAACAACTGCAGTGGCCAAAATCAGCGAAACAGAATGAACGGCCTCCGCTGAAGCGAAGCGAGTGTGTGAAGCCTTACCGCTCTGTCACTGCGTCCTCTGCGCTCTGCTGGTGTTATCTGTGTGAAGAAGGCATTAATCGTGTGTTTCTGGACACACAGCTGGCTCTCCGGTTCTGAAGGCTGCGGGCAGCGCCAGCCTGACCCCACCCTCCAACCGAGCACACGCGCACACGCAACAGGACGTGACGTCACGAAACGGCTACATGTTGGAGCAGCGTCAGAGCCAGTTTGAGGGGAGCTCGGCCATTTCCTGTTTCTCCCGTTCTTTCAAAAACATGCGCGTTAAACGCCAGAGGGCGCCCGCGAGCGAGTCCTCAATGAATGGGGGTGAATGGAGCTAAACGGCAAAAAATGAAAAGTTACAATAGTTTCTAACCGCTTGTCCAGGATCTTCCTTTAATTTTGGAAAGTATAAAGATGTATTTCACAAAAAAGCACAGAAAACTTATCTGTGTGTTTCCCCTTTTCTACAGCAAACGGGTTTTTGACAGTAGGGTGCTAGCATTACTGCTACTGAGCGCTGATTAGGTTGGCATTACTGCTACTGAGCGCTGATTAGGTTGGCATTACTGCTACTGAGCGCTGATTAGGTTGGCATTACTGTTACATGCTGATTGGTTGGCATTACTGGTACTGAGAGCTGATTAGGTTGGCGTTACTGCTACTGAGCGCTGATTAGGTTGGCATTACTGCTACTGAGTGCTGATTGGTTGGCATTACCGCTACTGAGCACTGATTAGGTTGGCATTACTGCTACTGAGCGCTGATTGGTTGGCATTACTGGTACTGAGAGCTGATTAGGTTGGCGTTACTGCTACTGAGCGCTGATTAGGTTGGCGTTACTGCTACTGAGCACTCATTAGGTTGGCATTACTGCTACTGAGCGCTGATTGGTTGGCATTACTGCTACTGAGCACTCATTAGGTTGGCATTACTGCTATTGAGCACTCATTAGGTTGGCATTACGGCTACTGAGTGCTGATTAGGTTGACATTACTGCTACTGAGCGCTTATTAGGTTGGCATTACTGCTGCTGAGCGCTGATTAGGTTGGCATTTCTGCTACAGAGTACTGATTAGGTTGGCATTACTGTTACTGAGTACTGATTAGGTTGGCAAACAGAGAGCTCATTAGCTGAGTGAAGCCATTCATGCTCACTGACATCCTGCATGTACATGAGGCGCCATTATAAAGTCCTACAACTGAAGTTCAAAAGTGCTCAAAAATATAACAGTGGTGTAAAAATGTTTTATGCTGGTCTTTGTTCAGGAAATTAATGCATTCTTCTATATAAAATGTTTAAGCATCTACAAACTATGATTTGCTCAAGTGCTCCATTAACCCATGTTGGACTCGCTCGGGAGCGCCCTCTAGCATCTGTCAAACCCGACAGACATAACTGAGTGGCAATTCTCCTCTCTACACATTCTCTGGCAGCATTTCTCTCAGCTTCACTCCTGCAGTGACTCTGAACTGCTCAGTCTCCAGTTTATTCTACACCTGAGTCACGTCATTACCTGATGATTAAGTCTTTACAGAGCTGGGACAGGCGTGTTAAAGCCACTTAACTTTCAATCCACAATTTGTGATGTCAGACATTCAGATTGAACAAGTAAAAATATTAGTGCTGTGAATTGATTAGTACTGTAGTAGTAAAATATTATTATTGTGAATTGATTACTACTGTCGTAGTAAAATATTATTATTGTGAATTGATTACTACTGTCGTAGTAAAATATTAGTATTGTGAATTGATTACTACTGTCGTAGTAAAATATTATTATTGTGAATTGATTAGTACTGTAGTAGTGAAATATTAGTATTGTGAATTGATTAGTGCTGTAGTAGTGAAATATTAGTACTGTGAATTGATTAGTACTGTAGTAGTGAAATATTAGTATTGTGAATTGATTAGTACTGTAGTAGTGAAATATTAGTACTGTGAATTGATTAGTACTGTAGTAGTGAAATATTACTGTGAATTGATTAGTACTGTAGTAGTGAAATATTAGTATTGTGAATTGATTAGTGCTGTAGTAGTGAAATATTAGTACTGTGAATTGATTAGTACTGTAGTAGTGAAATATTAGTACTGTGAATTGATTAGTACTGTAGTAGTGAAATATTACTGTGAATTGATTAGTGCTGTAGTAGTGAAATATTAGTACTGTGAATTGATTAGTGCTGTAGTAGTGAAATATTAGTACTGTGAATTGATTAGTACTGTAGTAGTAAAATGTTAGTATTGTGAATTGATTAGTACTGTAGTAGTGAAATATTAGTACTGTGAATTGATTAGTACTGTAGAAGTAAAAATATTAGTACTGTGAATTGATTAGTACTGTAGAAGTAAAAATATTAGTAGTGGTAAAAACATGCAGCTTTACTGATAGTCTAAATATGTCAAAATTCAGTATTTACTAGTAGGAATTATATTTTTGCAAGTAAGATTATTATTCTCTCAGGCCTAAGCCAATTCATTTTAACAGGACGAACAATGTTTACTAGAATGAGAACTTTTGACATGTTGGAATTATTGTGGAGTAAAAAAAGTATTGCCCACACACTGTAACAATATAAGACAAGTCTAGCAAAAAAGTACTTATTTCATTACAAAAAGCCAGACAAAAGACAAGCAAATGTTTCAATGTCTTGCTATAGGGCTCATGAAGCAACTCTATCAACTTACCCCTTTTTGAAGACCCAAACAAATTGCTCTTATCTGTGTCAGCTAGCCTTGTTAAAGTGACAGTACAATAACTAGAGAATACACTCAGTTGCACAGTTAAAAAGTTAAATATATCAAAAACCATTACAAAGTACAAAACCGATTCACAGTAGCTTGAAAAACAACTGAGATTAAGTTCCTCATTCTTACCATTGGGGAACAAAGATAGAAATTCAAAAATCCAGATAATAATCTGTTATCCTGAACTTCCCTCTTCTTTGCAACATAACCCTCTCAATGGCCAAGAAGCATAGATTTGAAAGAGAATGTTTAGCTGATTCAAAATGAGGAAAATCAGGGGACGGATCATCTTGTCTACAGATTGCACTTGTCTGTTTAATTATTCTTGTCTCTTTTTACGAACATATAATAAAAGATAAGGACACATGGTGATATAAACAACACGGGTTACAAGTTACAAGTTATGAAATGTCTAATCAAGTTCAAGTGTGGGTAAAAAATTTACGTTTTACAAGAGCAAGAGGTACAATTCTGTCAAATAAAATGACCTTGGACATTGAAGAGCAGAAGCAGTGGGAACATATGTATCTGGTGGAGGTGGTGTAATGATGAGGGGAAAGATTTCTTGGCACACTTTGGGCCTGTAAATACCAATCAGTCATCGCTTGGATGCCACAGCCTATTTGAGTATCATTGCTGACCATGGGCATTAGAGAGAGTTGCAGGAGCAATGCGTGCATATGTATCTGCACGTACCAGTTTTTCTCTTAATTTTTTTAAATAAATATACATTTTTCATGACTACATGAAGATTGCACTTAATCGAATATCTTAAACAGTTCATATAAAGCGCAAGGAGTTCAAAGTCCTTCAGGGAGCATCTGTAAATGACAAAGAAGTCATCAATATATCTTTTGAACAGATTAATATTTTCTAAAAGAGGTTTGTTATTGAAAACATATTGTTCATCCAAATAATGCAAGTAAAGATTGGTATAGTCAGGGGTCAGATTGGCCCAGATGGCAGTGCCTTCAATCTGCAGATAGAAAGAGTTTTCAAACAGAAAATACCTTTAAGTATCAGCTCTGCCATAACAGTCATAAACTGAGTCAGAAGGCCATTATCATTACTTTGACTGAGAAAATATGTAACTGCCATAAGACCCTCTCTGTGAGGAATGTTAGCATACAAAGAAATAACATCCATAGCAGCCAAGGAAGCACTGGGCTCTATTGAGGGCAGGCACTGTAAAAAATCTGCTGTGTCTCTGAGATAGCTAGGACGGGAAAGTTGTTTCCTGCCACTATAGGCTGGCCAGGAGGATTGGCTACATCTTTATGCACTGTAGGCAAAATACATATATAGTATAGGCTTTATGAGGGATCTATTATACAGATATACCAACTCCTTACCCGTCTTCAAAGATCAAGAATGTGCATCTCTAAGAATGGCTTCAATTTCTTTTTAAAATTGTTTTGTAGCGTGAGATGATAAAATTCTATAAAATGTTACATTGTGTAATTGGTAATTGGCAAAGTGCTTCTTGGTTTTATAAGGTCTTAGGAACAATAACCAAATCCCCACCTTTATCTGCAGATTTTGTGAGTCTATCTTTGTCTTAACATAATCTAGAAAGAGCTTGTTTTTCAACAGGTGTCAGGTTAGATTGCACATTTTGAGAAGAGGTGGTAAACAGCAGACTGAAATTCCCTAAACCACAATAGTTTTCAATGGAAGGATGTGAAACTACAGGAAAACTTTACTCTCAGGCTTAAATTTCTCTCGACCACTACAAGTGGTATACTGGGGTTGATCTATCTTCTGAGACTTATAATAACATTTCAATCTGAGATTCTGACCAGTAAGATTAGGGTAAATTATCATACCTCTCTTTGTGCCACCCTGCACCCTCAGCACCCCCTGTGTCCCTGATATTAAATGTTGACATGTTAGAATGTTAGAATAAGTCTTTTTACATGTGAAATTTTGACTAACATTAATCACATTTTTTATTCATTGTTGTTATTTGTTTGGAAGTGGTGTCTTTTTCCATTAATCTGACTGTGGGGTGTGGGCAATGCCAAAGGACAAATTCCTGGTTTCAAGGCTAATAAAAATTGCTAATAATAGCAGATGTGTGCCAGAATTGCAGACACTGCTGCAGGAAATAGTTAATCTGTGTCAACAGATCTACAAGTGTCCATCATTCAGGTGCCTTCATACCAGGTAATGTTATCTAGACTCAATCTAGACTAATGAATTGATGATACGTTTTTTTTTTTGTTTTTTGTTTTTTTTTAATTATTAATATATTTTTTTTGAATATCCAACGTCACGATTATATAACTTCCCCTGGGGCAAATAATTAAGTCAAACACGGACATATATACATATATATATATATATATATATATATATATATATATATATATATATATATATATAGTGTGCTACCGTTTTACACAGCTTTAGTTA